GCTGTACATCTCAACTCATGTATATACGACAGCTTTAACTGCTACCAAACAGGGGTAATTTTATCCCCAAGTAGAGTAACCTCAAATTGTTGAATAAGCGCGGCATCAGGCCAACTCAGCATTTTTCGACAACATAAAAGATCGAGGGTGCGACAGACTGTAAGCGGCCACAACACCTGGATATTTTTGCCGAAGTAGGGTCATGTCCTTACAGGGTTCTAGATTAAAACTTTCCTTCCATTTTAGCAGGTACTGGCAAGAGCACTCACGTGCCACCCCACCCCACCAAATTGTTTAGCGTGAAGGTAGGCCGGCCTTGCTTATCGAGTAGTGCTGGCGGAGGTCGACTCCTCTCGAGGGTCATAGCGTGCGACTGAGTGTGATATATTCCAGATTTCAGTTTTGCTCTCTGAATGCCGTCATGCAACTACCTAGCATTGAGACACACATAGCAGTTCAGAAAAGTGTCGCTTGTTTGAAGCAGAGGATGGTTCAGCTTTACGGGATGGTAGAGACCTTTTTCGTCTGAATCAAATCTCTTAACGTGCGACAATTTTTAATGAGTGGGATCACGATATGGCTTCAGTAATCCATAAATAGTACTGAATGCTAAGACCGCGAACGGTTCATTGCGGTCGCAGCCTGGTCTTTTATACTGCAAGACCGCGTGAGACGTGCAGTCATACAGGCCGTTAAAATGGCATTGGAGATCACAAATACATTGCTCTAAAAGTACAGATATTACGTTCGGTCAGTACGTTGAACATCTCACCCTATCAATTGGTGACGTCACTGTTGTGACATGTGACGATCCATGATCGATGCGCCGCCAAAGCACATTTGATACCGCTATAAGCCGTCTCGGCTTGTGCCTTATACTCTGCAAAGGATGGCGACCATCTTGCTACGTTCCGTGGGAGATGTGGTGATGACGTCGCTATGCAGAAACAACACATGATCTGTACAGGTCAAAAATGGCTTGTAATCTGCAGGTGCACCTTGAGTTGCATCTTTGATTGCAAGTGGCTCCTGGTCACATCCAAAGTATTAGTTATTCTCAATTGTTTAGGTTGATGAGTCTTAAATACGACTACGCTATATACTGACCGACATTTGCTTGGAGAAAAGCGTAGTCGACTATAAAAGACGAAGAGACACAGATCGCACGAATGGATGATTTGACTCGGGGGGCTAAAACGGGCCCCACCTAATACTTTGTTTTACTATTTGAATACCACATCTTCTGCCGCGCTTCTTTTCTATTTGGCAATTTCTTAAAAAGACTGGCGGGAAATTGCGACATGTCCGCACAGTTGGTACTACTTCGTGCAAGTAGTTGACCGAGTCAAGCCACTTCCACAAGCTTTTTGGAAAAGAGACACTGACTAATCTACAACGGTCGATATTGGTCGGGATGTGCCTGTAGAACATGTCTATGTTGGAGCAACCCAGAACGATTTTTTAGCGCCATAGAGACGTGTTCGTACGATGGAAAATCGATTATCAAAGCGCATACACTCGAGTCGACCCCGCTAAAGCTCGATGTGGATGTCCACATTAAAGTCCCCATGCTCTCTACAATTATGAACGATATGGTCTATATGTTTGTAGTTAGGCACTACGCAGTCTGAACCCGGCGACACTAGACAAATTAACGTCGCCTATACATCTAACAGACCTTGTAGCATAGCTAGCCATTTCGTGAGATGTTTTTATCTCTCATTCGCAGCCGATGATATCCACCATCAACGCGCCAATGACACTGAGCAAGCTACAACCGCTCACGCTGTTTACATCACATCCTTTCGGGATGTTTACGTCGGAATTGTGACTGTTTTGGGTTAATAAAGAACATGAACAACTCTCCAACTTCCGTTAGCCTTTTTTAAAGATTAAGTTGTTGCCGAAAGGGCGGGTTTGTTCTCTTTCGCCATTCCCGCTTCGTGTTTTGTGTGGAAGAAGTTAATGATGTCATGCCGTTCCCATGGTAAGGATCAATATCGTGTGACACAATGTATGGTTCCGGGAACTAAGTCCGTGACATAACGCACTCCACTATTCGGGATTAGCACATTTGTTGGATCCCTCATCATCACACTTCATCTACTTGCTGCTCCTTCCACGCATTTTCTTGAAAGAAATTTCAAGTTCAATGAGAGCTATTGCGTAGGTAGCAAAATGAGATACACATCTCCTGACTCCTTGAAAACACTCGCTAGGTTTAGATGATTTTTCTGCCGCTTAATTGTGCCACTCTACTAGTCCACACGATGGCGCCCTTATATCTTGACAAGATGAGTATTCATCTCAGCCTCAGGGCCTGAATCATCTGCTCGCAGCTTTATTCGCCCTTTAGCCCTTTAATCTCACCGGGGTTGGCTCGTGAAACGGTAACATCTAATTATTTTCACTGTCAATCAGCCTTGATAAGAAGACATGAAAATAATGCTGATCGAATCCGGTTCTCTAATAATATTCCAAGGGCCAGAATATAGAGTTGTTTCGTACCGTCTCATCCTGTGACAACGGATCACTGTCGCTTCTACCTCCCAGGCTCTACTCAAGGCATGTGGGTAATCCCATGTCCTGTGTGAAGGCTATTGCATTTAGACTTGTCAAAGCTCCACCAAGATAAAAGTGACTGGCATCAAATCGGATCAACTCTTATTCCATCCACGAATCGTAGTGCTTCAGCCAAACCACACATAGGACGATATCAAATCTTGTATCTTCATCCAAGACGAGACATATTAATCGGCTGACAAAGTCTATAACCTCAATAAAGCTCACAATAATTATTGTAATGTCCCATTCGAGACGTGTGGGATCGTATCTGATCTTAAAGCCTTCGCGTACTGCCTGCTGTTTCCGACAGTCGCGCGTTGTACCTAAGTGCAATTGAATCTCAATCAATCAGAATTTTCGACGGTTTTACAAAGATCAAAACGTTAATATCTACTACAAATCATGTGCTGATTACACCACTTTTTTGAAAGACAAACACTTTATATGAGATGATCTCTTTGACCACGTTCTTCATGGTGTACTATCGAGCACAAGGTAGGCCGCTCTGCGACCGCTGAAGCCTGACAGCTCCTTCGAGAAGTTCGTCGCCTACTCTTGCGTTGACCCCGACCAAATCTACCTAGCGAGGACCAAACACTAAATTATGCTACGTACGGATTGATTCAATAGCGAATATAATCGACCTTCCCAGCAGCTTAAAAACTAATCTCTTCCTACTCCGAATGGCGAGATTTATAGCCTTGAGCACGCCTATAGGCTTTCACTCCCGGTATCTCTTCCGGCCATCGCGGAACCAAAATTATTCTTCGCATCAAATGCGATACCCACCGCTTCCCCAAAAAAGTAGGGTGGATACGGAAGGTCTCTGTACAAGGCATAAAGTTTGGACATTCTCCATTGTATGCTTGCTGGTGAGATGGGTCTCTCTGCCTTACATCGGTTAACACTATCATTGAAGATTTTACAGCTATCGTGCAGCTTCGTAACCATGCAATCCTCATGACACTTTATCAACGTTGCCAAAATTGATCGTTGAGCCAAATGCTATACGTAGGCCAATATGAAAACTAACATCGGACCGAGCGATTTGGTCGATTAAATCGCAACCAGAAGATGGACCCTAGCAAATTTTCAACGGAAGTATCAACTTCATGCTTCCGTAAAGGATGATAATCTTCAGTCGAAGGTATAATCGTAAGTCTTCATAGAAGGTTTTCGAAGATACTAGATATTTTTTGGCGATTAAGTACTGTACTATTGTGCACTGACACTTAAGTATCCAGCCGATGATCCATTTCAAGAACATATTTCCCTGTAACGAACGGAATCCACGAAGGAAAGCAAATTGTGCTCCTATTTTTCTCCAGCTATAAGAAGTCAGGTTGTTCAATAAATTTCACTCATTGTCTAACATGAATGGCTCGTACCCAAAAATAAAAAAATACCACAGCGGATTGAACAATGTAGCCAGGTAGGTAATGACATATTTCCAAAAAAATCCAGTGATGCGCGCATTGATAAAGGTAATATCTCGGAATGTTCCGTCTTTTTAAACGGTTGCTTTGAGCGAATTTGATGTTGCGACCATCACATCTACTGCATGAAGCATTCACGTCGGGTAGGATAATCTCGTATCAAACATGGAGAAGAATATAGTACTCAGCTACGTGAATCTCGAAAAACGGTCATGAAACCTTATAACAGAGCAGGGCAGAATTTCTAGACTCCAAGAAATAGGTATCTTGTTAGAAATTTAAGAGGTAACGTTTAAGGATGTGCACAGTGACTATCAACAGTTCAAACATCCCGTGCCGGTGAAAAGGGTTAAACTGGACAAATACTAAAAGAAAGGCTGAAAGATTATGAAATAAAGATGATAGACCGATATTATAGATACCACTGAAGTCTGTTAAACTGAAAAATAAACAATTCAAGGTGAAGTGAATGCGCGATTTAAATTTGATAATGGCTTTTGAAGAGCTGTGGGAATTATCACTACTGTAAAACATTTCGGGGCAAATACTCTTTACAAAAAATTTTGCCTTCGGCCCTTTGACCGTTAATTCTCTGATCCCATCATTGCCAAAATCTTGTTCAACTGGTCTACCTATCCCGGAATAAAGGTATTCGAATATTTAATGCTTCATCCTCGTAAAATAATACCATCTTATCACGATTCAGTCGTTTGACGAACACCAAGTGCTACAAATAGCGATGGATTTTCCGTGCACTTTGCACAGATGAAATTTTGTCGGCCTGAGCCCACACTATGAAATGAATAGAGATTATATTTGTACATTTCAGTCAGGAACGAAACCGAGAACCTCTCTCGTAACCAGTTGTCAAGTTAGTTCTGCTATTTCAAAAGCATTAATTCCATTAGAATCCATACTGAACATGCACGATGCATTTTCCTCCATGAAAATTGTTTACTTGTCTGACATGCCGCTACCAGTCTACGTGTCCCAAAGACCTTACCGTAGTGAAGTTCCATTATCTCCGTTTGAAGATCCTCCATGCAGACAGTAGCCATTTGTGACTCCAGGGTGGTCCGACGCCGATTTGGCGATGACTACCATGACAGCTAAATTAGAGCCCCATACGCCCTATATGTCTAATTGGGCGTTCGAACACCTGCGACACCTGTCGCTTCAAACCATTCCGCGCTATTAAAACCAAGGTGTTGCATGTATATATCCAATCCCACTCGTCGTGTAGCTCTTTGGGTACAACGTTTGGAGAATGGTTGGGCGCATGGGCATCTTAATTTCCCTCGTCGAATGAGAGAGAATTTTTCTGCACTGGTCCTGCAGCGAGGCTGCCGTAGCTTAGCGCTTGAGAATTCGTAATTTAGGTCGCCGACCTTTCGTTCTTTACAAGAATCAATACGAGTGTAGCGGATCGCATCCGCCACATCCAAGAGTAGTTAGTACCTTAACCATGGCTAATAAATATTCGTTTAAATTCAAAACTGATTTTTATTTATTTTTATCTGCGGCTAAACCGCCTAATTTAAATGTTTAGATTCTCCTAAATATATATATACTAAAATCTAAATACATGCATAACTACTGGCTGCCTAGCCACATACCGTATTCTTGTTTGGGTGCAGTCACACCTTGCCCCAGTTACTAGGGTACGTGTAACGCCGTTACAAGTCCTCGAAAACCTTGGTGCTCAGTTCAGATCTCTCACGCTTTTATCTATCTGCTTCTTGTGTGTTTCCCGGTTACAGCGCTTCTGGCCGTGTCTCGCCAGTGCATTTTTAGAGCATTTTTGAGCGCCACCGGACAAGCAATTGATGATTTTGCCATTTGACACTAGTTTGCTGATCACATCGGTACTCCCAGCCAGACAAAAGCTTGTTAAGCTGATCTATTGATGTTGGGGCCAGGTTTCTATACATTTCAGAATTCATTCCCGCAATGAATACATTTCTTCCACGACTCGGGCTTGAAATTGACTATGAGTGCTACAAGTGTACTGGGATTGTCGAGCACTTTGCGTGAGGAGCAATCGATGATCGAAGTCCGCATTCATCACGAACGAAGGTTAGGATAATGTGACTTTACCAAAAACAGGACTGAGAGCTAACCAACACCGTTGGTCTGCTCACTTTTTTAATATACATATTGAGAAATGATTCAATTTTCTTTTATACTAATTTTTTACGCTTTATTGTCTTTCAAGATAAACTGGCTTTGTTTACTAAGCATTGAAATACTGATATTCCGGTACTATGGAACTATTACAGTGTAATATGTATTCCAGATATTTCTCTATCAAAACTAGGACCAGTATGAGGGTAGCGAATCAGAATCTGCTACATCCAAGAGTACCCAAAACCTTAACCCAAGGCAAATGTGTTCTCGGGACACCTGAAATAACCAGTACATATCTATATGGAGGTCCCCTATACCCGGGAAGATAAGCTCCCTAAGGCTAAATTTCGCCCTGACTCGATTCCTATATCGAGCCGGGCTCTCCGACGCTTATAGCGCAAAAACGATTGAGCTGCAATCATTTCAAGACATTTTTCATCGAAAAAAGGTGATTTTTGACACAACTAAGGGTCTACAGCCAAGGCATTTGAAGTTAAACTAAAAAGAAATTTGACGAGAAAGAGCGTGAAAAAGTACGTAGGACACTTTGATTAGCAGTCGAAAGTTGTTTGCATCATGGGTGAATGGGGGGATGAAAGAGAAAAAAGGCACATTTTGCACCATTTCTTGGACGTTTTTGGCCGTTTTGAGGCGTTTTTTGCAGCACTAAATAGGTCATAACCCACCAACTACTGCGAGTTACGCGACATAATTTTGGGTGAAGTCGTGTTGTAACATGCCCTAAGCGATCCCAAATCGTCTGTTGGCTGGATTTTGCTCACGGAACGAAGAATCATTTTTTATCGCCAAAAATGAAAAAAATACAAAATGTTTAAAAAAAACATTTCGTCTTTCTACAGCCAAGGCTAGATGTATCAGCTTCCTGTTTGAGTATTACACTAAAAATTTTAAGAATGTT